GCTCCACATATACAATAAATTTGGTATCACGTGACTTGAATAGATGACGAAGGTAAACGACACATCTGTCACAAAACGAGCGCTCAAAAACAGGCGCGCCGCCAAATTCTCGCGATGAAGCGTCGATAGGTCAACGATAGCAAAAGAAAACAAGCATCCAAAGACTCCCCGGGCACGCGCCCCTCTCCCCTCGGAACAGTGAGTTCGCCGACGAACCTTCCTCTCATCGGCGCCCGAGCAAGCACTGGAATGTTCTAGATGGAAAGGCGCGGGGTGATGCCGGATTGCGTCATCCGTCGCGGACCGCCTTCGAACCGTCTCGCCCTTTCCCCCAGCCTTCGCTGCGTATCGCACCGACGAAATGATGAGAACTTTCTAGAATCTCGCGCGGAAGGTATTTAATCGAGCAGCCGAGATGGGAGATCAGGAGAAGACGGAAGTTAGCGCCAGAGCGCGTAGGGATTCCGCCGTGTAGTCGGCGAAGTTTTTGTCCGTAGGGACAAAGCAGGAGAGGAAGAGGATTTCCACCTGAGGGGTGAAGGCTCGAGCTACAAACAAGAGCGTGTGTCTACCGCTATCGAGCGAAGACGCGTAGCAACAGCTGCGTGTGTGAAGCCGACGTGTTTCCGGCGAAGAAGTTTGAAGCTTGGCGAGTGGCCAATTGAAGACGCGAGGTTTTCTGGAAGAGAAACTTCGGGGGCAGCGGAACGACAACAACGCTGGACTTTGAGTGAGTGATTCTCGGAAGAGTATCATCCAGACTTTTGTTTCAAGAACTTTGGAGTGAATAGGTTTTCTATCTCTTTAGTCTTTAAGTGTCTTGGTTGTTCAATGCATGCGACTGCATTGTAGTGTGTATTGTTGTCTGTGTCTGTTGTTTCGAGTGTGGCTGATTGTACTGTGTAGTACGTTGTTTGATTAGTGACATATTGTACTCAACTATTGTGGAGTGTGCATACTTGTGTATTGTTTTGATCTGCCATTATTGAGAATATAATTTTGTTTTGTTTATCAACTCTCGGCTCTGACTTGTTCTTTGGGCCACATCCGGCGTCTGCTGGCGCACCAAAAAGGACCACTTCTAAATTGTCCACGCTTTCGTGGTGTGGTTCGGGGGGCCAATACTTCGGCTCTTGGAATTAGCCCGGCGATCGCCTCCCAAACTAACGGGACCTGTGACAACATCCAAACATGATAAGCATGACATGGAAGTCATGTACGACACCAATTACCTCTGCCTCATAACGTTGTGCTGATATTAAAGTGACATATCAACATTTCCCATTTGTGCTTCGCATATCATCGTTTCCCACTGTACGTGGGATCTGCCAGTTGTTCTTCATCAAGAAGCTATTTCATCGACTCGTACTCAGCGTCATCCTCGCTGGCCGTCATTCAATGGTAACGTTTCGGAATTTGCAGTGTTTGAAGTGCACCGAAGCGGCAGAGCTTCATCGCGTTCGGTCGTCTCGGCAGCGTGAAGCAGCGACTCTGCGTGTATACTTCATCAGTCGCTCGGATGCACCAAGCTTATTGCCTGAAGGTGACCACTCTCGACGATTGTCGTCGCGATCATTCGTGTGCAGTTAGGTGAAAGTGAAGTCTGAATTGCGCGCGTCTGTTTTTTTTTTTTGGGGGGGGGGGGGGGGGGTAAGCGTCTGTGATTTATAACCCGCAAAAACCATGGCATCAGCGTTGTCACATGTGCGTGTGCGAGTGTGTTACTTGGGTGTCGCAACGTGGGAATCTATGTGACTTTCTGCGATATGCGCTGTGCTGTGCGCCCATATGAGTGGTGCGAGTGCGGACAAGGCGTGAGAAAAAAATGACTGCAGTTTCCCGGGTGGGAACACTGGTTAGCATGCGGAACCTATATGTTGAACTGGGATAAATGTTGTTAGTAATTTGTGACATGCGTGTGTGTTATGAGTGAACACGAGTGAACACGCACGCACGTATGCTGCGAAAGACGATGTTTATTGATGTGACGCTTTGGGTATTTTGAGCGAGTTGGCGTTATGGTCCGTAAAGTGAAGGGTGAGTGGCTCTGGATGCACTGATCGAAGGTTGAAATTTGCAAAGACGTGGTCGATGCCCGTCCCGCGAACCGTGGTCGGATGACGTTTGGCGTCGTGCGTTGCTCGTTTCAGCGAGTGCCGCGACTCCATGTAGTCTACCACCCAATCGTCCTTGATGACGTCGACGTTGAAGTCGCCAATTATCACGAAGGGTTGTCGTTGCGGTCGTTGTTTCAGGTATTATTCCACGGCTTCGTCGACGTACTTCCCCAGGCAGCACGCGATAGGTTGCGCATGCGCGCGTTAGCATACAGCTGGCACACGTAAAGCTAAAGGTCACGCGGCGGGCGCTGTGTTGAGAGGAGGAAGAGTGTACAGATGGATGGCGGAGGAGGAGGGGAGGCTGCGGACTGCAACGGCGCATGACTAGCCCCTAGCATGCTAAGCATGTAAAAAGCGTCCAACAGAACCTGCTACGCGACACAGTACGAAAGTAAACAAACCAGCTGGTGGGGGAGAGTACGCAATGTTCTATGCATGCATTATAAAGCGAATTGTGGTCATCCGGTGGGTGTGTGAGTAATTCTGTGCCTCGTTGACGTGCGCGTTGCGTAAGCGCTTGTCTCACGCTCGATGCACGGACGCCTTGTATGAAAAACGCCGTGCGAGGTTTTTCGAACCGCGAAATGACACGTTATTTACTATCGCGGCATTGATCGTTATCGGTGCAGCGATAACAATCAATTACGATCAGTTGCATCGATCGTGATTGTTACTGAGGCGACACCGCTAATACTATCATTCAGCGAAAAAAAAGATCTCCTTTTAAGGAGTTGTATGATACTTAATGATATCTTAATGGAAAGTCTTAGTTCTGTCTTTTTTCTGCATTTAACCTGTATTGTGTGCATGTAATACCTAGTGATAGCTTGTTAATGTTAAATTAGAGTGCCGTGAAATAAAACATGAAGGATGCATTGCACTCCTTTGTGAAAGGAACGTCTGGTACGCAATTCGCTCCCATTTACTGGAGAGAGGAAACCCTCTTGTCAGCACAGACCTTCGTACAGACACATTCATAGGAGGTGGTGGCCCCTGTTCCAGCAAAACTGTGTCGCTCTTTGAAAACGTTGATTATTCAAGTGCTGACGAAGTCAAGACAAGCCATCGAGTGCAAGCTGTCAAACCGAGATTGCGAAAATTCCTGTACAGCATTCAGTCGCCGCCATTTAGCCACGCATACATCGCCTTGTATGCAAGGACTCCCACTGTTAAACACAATGTGCGCTACGCGCTTTTATTTCGTTGAAAGAAGACATCAAGTGAAACAATGGCGTTTGTCTCAGACACGATGACAAGCAACGAAACACGAGACGCATATTCGGTATTTACGGCATCACAAGAAGTAAAATTCACGAAGTTAATTTCACATCACTTCTTCATTCTTCGCTTTGAGTCATAGTTGTCATAATAGTCGCCATAATTACAGCAGATAGCGAAGAAACGTGTAAGCGAAAGTTTCGTAAAACAACATGAAAATTGCAAACAACTTTATAAAATTTCATTCATGCCCTTGTATTGTTTTTTGAAAGCGCTACAGAAGGATTATTTTCTTCAGACCTTCACTTTAACTGTGCCATTGTTCGATTTAGTACCACCCTAGGTACCGCGCGGAAACGTCGCATTCGAGAGATGTACATTGCTTCTTCATGGACTCAGATGTGAGGTTGGTGGGGGGTGTTATTTAAACAACAAATATATTTCTAAGCTGAAGCTGAACTTCGTGCCCTCACAAGTTTTCTTATCAAGGTTTGATTTCTCTATCTCAATATCAATGAAGTGTTGCAAGATAATGGCTGTATGCGGGAAAGTTATTGGGGAACTACTTTTTTTGTAGCGCGGAGGCATAAAAAGATAAGGGCAATGCCACCTCGCTGGCGGGGCTTATATTTATTCTTAAATTGTCACCGACTATAGTTCACATGTAGTTGCGCGGTATATGAAAGAGCACAGGCGAACGTTGCCCTCGTATACTGGGGAGAGCACACCAAGGCGTTTGATTCGTCAAACGACAACGCTTTGAGCGAGCGCACATCGAGTAGGAGTGTTTATGTTTTTGTTGGCGCCGTGTTTGCGTGAGATTCACTATATGCTGCGTCCAGGTGTAAACTACTTCAGCTACAAGTTTTTTGTTTTGTTTTTATGTGGTTACTGATCTGTCTCAGGGTTACGACGAACATCGCTAACGCTACACATTCGTCGACAATAATGATAATCCCTATAATAATTGACAACACATTTTGCGGCATAATCAACTATAAGGAGTATCGTTCGTGACATTACCTATACGCAGTTTTTCTGTGTTATATAGTTCCCTAACATGGCGATCGCAGTGGTGTCAGTACCCTGCTCATGACATATCGTCACGTTCAGGTCGATTTGCGCCTCACGATGGCAGTTTTTGAAAGGGTTATCGGGCGTGCGCGGAGTTTTCTTTCGTAGGGGGAGGGGGGTTCTACCCAATCAAAGTGCGCCATTTTGTTCTGCTATTCTGAGGCCCTGTATGCTTCTGTAAACTATTATTCTTAATATCATTATTATTATTATTCCTATTGTTGTTGTTGATGTTGTTTTTATTGTTTGATATCTTATACACGCCGTTGATTATACACAGTCATAGGATGACACACATGAAGACAAGGGGTAAACAGTACGACAAAGCACGCGTTTCACTGTTCTGGATGTACAACAAAATGGCAGCCATCATGACGTTGATGCACGCCCCCTAGTGTGAGTTGCTAGCTCTTGACAAAGCGCTATCTCGCCTACTCACTTTTTTCTACATTTTCACGCGATAACTCGCGTGTATTTTCTTTACTGTTCTTCCTTGAACCAGTGCCCTAACTCTTTATCGCTTATCTGCATGCGGTCAAAGCTTCTTTCGGCTTTGAAGGGCCCCCAGCGGGATACGAAGACACGTACCTGGATTCGCGCCTCGGGAAGCGCGATCTTCTCGGCCAACCTCTCCCGGGCGAACACGTCCGGGTAGTGGGTGCGCTCGAACTCTGCAGCGTATAACATTGTTGTTCACGAATGGGTGCACGTATTCAAAGCATCACCGCGTGTTCAAATCTCATACGCCAGAGCATAGGCATGCGTAGGGTTCTCTTTTAGGGGGGGGGGGTGAATTTCGGTCTTAATTCCCACTCCCTATATTATGTGAAAGTATGGAGCTAACTTCCTCTCCCCGCCCTGTGGTCACGCCTATGCGCTGGAATCCTAGATATAGAAAGGGGCTTATCGTGAATTCTGAGGGATAGGTTACCAGGAGGGCAGGATCAGAGGATGTGGAGATTAGCTATATACCTTTAGAGGGGAGTGCATTGGGTCGGTTAGGAAGAATATCTCTTTATGGGGCCGGGGGGCGGGGGTCAGTAAGAAAGGGGAGGTGTATAATGATCACAAGGATGGCTTGGTGAACTAGTTGGTATCGAATCTTGGAAACATTACGTTGTACATAAGCGAAGAAAAAGTGAATGAACAAGATGCAGCGCTGAATTACAACTCTTTGTTGTAGTCCGATGCTTCTTCTTCACTCTGCTCCTTGTCGTGTGCGCTGTAGCATTTCGACAAAGTGTGCGTGATTTTTTTTTTGTCCTCAGCGTATACTTCACCTAAATGACGTGCACAACGGATATACTTCGCCCCCCCCCCCCTCGCGAAATAATCTGAAAAGTTTCATTTGCTTTTTAGGGTAGCGACGGTCTGTAGGATCGTGTGTGTGTACCTTTCTCGAGTGCCTCGATCTGCTCGTTGGTGAAGGATGTCCGGTTCCGCTGCAGCTTGCGCTTCAGCCGCAGCCGCATCTGCGAGTCCTCGTCGCACGACGAGCTGTTCTCAGAGTTGCCGTCAGAGGTGCCACCGTCGCCGCCACCTTCTGTACGAAACACATATAGGAGAAGATACACACGCACACTTTAGAAAGAGATTCCCGTGCCACATGTTATGCATCGAGTAAATGACGCTTGCTAAAAAAGTCAGCTTGTGGAGGCAGCGCGCCTTAAGGACGGTCAAAGTGTGGATTAAACTAGAATAAAATGAGATAATGGAACAAGAAAGTCTGTTTGTACGTTTGCACGAAGTTCAGTCACTCGCGCCATGCACGGTGAGCTGCATGCCATACCACGCTTCTCAATTAAACGCGAGAGTTACCCTATCCGAGCCTTGACACGCGTGCCATAGGATCAAGCTATTTACTCCAAGACCTTGTAGCAAAACGTATCAAGAACATTTTTTTCTTGGAAATCACCACTGAACACGTGTTCTAAAATACGTGCTTTCGCAGGCTGTTGCATCAAATCGCAGAAGCTGCCATTAAATCGTTGAGGTCTATTTCGGCGACTAAACCACGGTGAAGAACGACGCCGCCAAATACCACCTGTAACCAGTCGCTGGACAAGAGCGATCAAATTCGAAATGCATCCGGGTTTTGCATCACCGAACCATTGGAGTCGCCGTAACCCTGCTGTTCTGGCTATACGTTCACCAGCTAACGTGAAATTTTGAGCAAAAATCCTTCGAGTACGGTAAAACAATTCAGTAAGTTGTTTTTTTTATTCTGCCCGTGTATTATAATTCAAACTTGTGATGCCTCCACTCATATAGTAACACGCAACTTGCTTCTTGAAACACCACTTCTCCGCCAGGACGAAAAAAAAATGTCGGTCGCCTTTTAGCTCACGAAGCCTATAATATCTATGAATATATTTTCATCTTAGTGTGGTAGTAATTACATGTACACTGCAGGTGCATTCTCGCCGTCGCCGTGATGTTCCGTATAAAGCCTACGGTCGATAGTATCGCCCCGCACGTAGCATATTCCACGTGGGAGTGAAAACATGCGAGGGCCTAAGACGATCGCGGTTTAAGCGATGAGAACACTAGCAGCACGTGTTCTAGCTCCCTCTGACACAGCGTCTTTTGAGCTGCCGGGGCGAGTCGATCGCGCCTTACGCTGAGAAAAAAAAAAAAAAGCGGTAGGTGGCCTATACCCCCTTACGCGCCATGTTCTCAAACGTTCAGTTTTTGATGAAGAGGTGCATAGCACAATGGTCACTTTGACCGATGCAGCAACCGCGTTACCTTACGCTCTATTGTTTTGAGTTACGACAGCTCGAATGCTAAACGAGTTGGCTGCTGGCATTACGTTGGATAACACTCCAGTTTGTTTTCTTGTCCTTGCGACGCAGCTGTGACCTTTTCGTGATAATGCAGCTTTCAAAAGGACGAAATGAAGTGAAGATGATGTATTCGACCTTCGGAAGCGTGCCACGTAGACGTTTGTTGTCTACCAGGTGCCTGGCGCGTTCTATATAAGGACACGCTAGAATGCCAAGGTCACGCCGGCGGCTTTGCAAGCACACGCATTCTTGCGTTATCGACCAGTGTTCAAAAAGCACTGCGCCTACGATGAGCGAGAGAAGCACTAGCGCTCCCACGTGGCCGCCATCGCTTCTTCAACACCACGCGGTTCGTTACAGACGCGCCGGTCCACGTTGCTCCCATCGCACATTTCTTTCACTTCGCGCCCAGCGCGCTGGCAGCACCGAGTGCAGCGACGCGTACGGAGAAGCCCACCCCTCGGGCGACGCGCACGCGGACGCAGCTTTCGCGCTTTGCCCTCGACTTCCCCACCCTCTCCCAGCAACACCGCCCAAATGTCATCACCGCGACTGCGCCCTCGATCGCTCAGGTTCCCCTTTGGCACGCGGACTTGAATGTATCAGCAGAAACGTAGCGACCGAAACAATACTCACAACGAAAAGAAGAAGCGAGAAAATACATGAAGGCCCCGAAGACCAGGTCGCCAGGCAGATCCGGATCATCGGGCGACGGGGCGCGCCGTAATCAAGTTTGGCCTGGACCCCCCTCGTCCTAACGAATCCCATTAAGCGTCGGGGCGGACCCGCCAATGAGCTGTAATTGAATCATGCGCGCCCACATCCGCGCGCTCTCTTTTACAGCTTGGCGCGCATTGGCACCAACAGGGCCCCCAGAAAGGTGAAAGTATGCGCGCACGTGAGGACACCTATCCCAGAAGCGCTGATCTACCCACGTTTGTAAGGGCAGCTTCGGTCCGTGCAGAGGTAGGGGAGAGGGAGCTTGACTTGGAAAAACCGCGTGTGTATGTCGGTGATTAAGAAGACTGCTTATCCGGAAGCCGCTAGTGTTTTGGACATCATTCAGGTGCAATGTCCCCATAAGTTCTCGTGTCTCAGTTAAATTTGTAGTAATGTATGAAAACTTCGGGAACATAGTATCCCTATGTTCAAAACGTGAGCCGCACATTTTTGGGCTGTTCGTATACCTGTAGCATTCAGCAGAATGAATGAATGAATGAATGAATGAATGAATGAATGAATGAATGAATGAATGAATGAACTATATACGTACGTGTTTTGATATACATCTGTAGTGATGCGGTCAATTGATGTTTTAGGAAATGGAGTAACCGGTCTTACAGCAAGGCGTAAGACCGGTTACGGTTATTGATACAAATTTGTTTAAGAAATCAATAAAAAAACGACCTGTAGACTAACGTTCTCGTGCATGATGTAGCCTGGCCTCGAATCAAGAAGCCAACATTTGAGACATTCATTTCAGAAGACAATCAACCGCTCACTAACTCGCTTTGTCCTGACATCGAGCGAAGACAATTGAAGCGGAAACACAGAGGCGCCCCCAATACAGTTGATGAGGCAGTTGCCCGATTGTAACAGCAGTAGGACGCACTAGACGGCGCTTTCGGCTTGCTCATGGTTAGCTCATCGAGTGCATTCTTCCATCTCGGCTGTTAGAAGCGACAAACCTCGAGTATTTGGAAGCAGCCATTTCACGGAACAAAAATACCCTTGCCGCTATTTTGTTTTTCGATAAATGTGTGCACACTTATCAGAACGAGGCCACGTGAATGTGCACTGACCATGCCTCATAACTTTAATCAAATCACAGCGACACTTGGAAGTGGGTGAAAGAACGAGCGAGCACCTGAGCAGAACAAAAGGGCATGTGGCGCCATCTGTATACGAAGCCAACAAGCAACCGCTTCTTGACTTCACTATTTAGGACACCCTCTTTTTCACATTCAAATGATGGCAGAGAGAGTGCACGTGTGAACAACAAGAAAGCTTCCCGCGGATCTCGCGAAAGCAATTAGCCGTGCTGATCGAGCAGCCGCCGTAGCCAGGCGCGCGGAAGCATATGGTCGATTCAGTGGAGAGTCGATTGGAGGAATTCCGCCGGCTTCTTCCTCGACGAAGCGTGAGTATGCAAAGACCATGGTGCGTTAAACCGCTGCACGTAGCGAGGCGATTCGCAATGTGCGCGATACTGCTGTAAGTGGTGAAAACCCTTCTACACTTGCGTAGCGTACTTTAACAAATAAGGAACTCGTATGGCGTGTCGAATTGACACACTATGTTTTAATGATGAAAGTTTTCTAAGTTGTGGAAGTTACTTAGTTTCAGATTTTCACTCATAAAAATGGTTGCGTGCGTTGACAACGTACTACATACATACATACATACATACATACAAACATACATACATACATACATACATACATACATACATACATACATACATACATACATACATACATACATACATACATACATACATACATACATACATGCATGCATGCATGCATGCATACATACATACATACATACATACATACATACATACATACATACATACATACATACATACAAAGCCTGATTCACTGGCCTATACAATTAGAAATGTTTTGTGGAAGGATAGGGAGTACGTTGTACTTTGTGTTTCCTTCATTATACTATCAGGACAAGCGTAATTGTGATTTCTCTGCAGATAGATAGATAGATAGATAGATAGATAGATAGATAGATAGATAGATAGATAGATAGATAGATAGATAGATAGATAGATAGATAGATAGATAGATAGATAGATAGATAGATAGATAGATAGATAGATAGATAGATAGATAGATAGATAGATAGATAGATAGATAGATACTATTGATAGTATCATTAGTATATTTATTTGTACAAGAAATAGCTCACTGTCAAAGCTTGACTGAAGTACAAGAGAGAGGCGGGCACTGATCGCGTATTGATATATTATAATAAATAACTAAACTTTGTTTGCGACCAGACGCGCGTTCTCTTGGCCCAGAGGTGGGTGACTTCCTCATTCCAGGTAGCCATGGCTAGCCGCCGACGCCCAAGCCCTAACTTCAGATACATAACTCACCAAGCTTTTCATTTGTTGATGCCCGCTTTCTCAATATATAGTACGCACATCGTTCACTGTGTGCGAACAGTTGTGTAGTAGGAGAGTACTTGTGAATATGGACGCAGGCGAGCATTATGTGGGCGACACGAATACTGGATGCTTCCAAATATTAGATAAAATAGTAAGGCGTGGTATTTTATATTAACTATGACTCGCATATCAGCATTCGAAGCTTTGAATTTGGAAGTAATCTAATTTTGTAACGAACAAAATGCGCGTAATTTCACGTAATGAAACCCACCTGAAAAGATGGTTTCACAGTAGTATGGCTTTGCTATGCCGTGTAACAACAGTTGCGAGAAAAATGAAGAAAGTTAGAACTGCATCGAAATAACACCTCAAGGTGAAGCAGTTTCGCTTACACATTAGCTACACTCTGATTTATGTTTCAATTGCTCCGTAGCTGTTTGTACTTTCTTGCTCCGTAGCTGTTTGTACTTTCTAACTGCGTCAAATCGTAAAGGATAGCGTATTTGCCCGCGTATAACCCGCTCCCTCAATTAACACTGGCAAGGGGAGAATGTATGCGGGCGATGCGCTGATATATCTGCGTACCGTTAAACCGCTAGGTGTGCCTGAATTTTTCTCAAATATGGGGCT